GGCAGGCTGGGGTGCGGCGTACAAATTGATGCGTGCAGCGGATAATTTACGCGTAGCGCGCACGCCTGCATGGCCGTATGGGGCGCGCGCGTGTCTGTATGGCGCGCGTGTCCGTATGGCGCGCGCACGCGTCTGTATGGCAGAGCACGCGTCCGTATGGCAGAAATCTGTCTGCGCACTTTTACGGCGTAAAATCTTCAAAATCAAGGTCCACGGACGTCCAGATGCGTCTTTTTGGCGGGGTGCGGCCTGGTTTACGGCGTAAAATCTTCGACTTATACCAGTAGGGTAGCGCATCAATGTCTCGGAGCGTAGCTGAAAGAGGAATTGCGCGCTTAGGCTTACTTTGAAGCACAAGATGACAACGTGGTCACAGTGAGTGCACGCACTAGCACGACCTTCGACGACGAAGAAAACGCACGAGTAGCACAGTGAATGACGTCAGCGCTGTCAACGACGTCATGGGAGCAAGCACGCGAGCAGCACAGTCAGCGACGTCGCGCAAGCAATCACACGAGCAGCACAGTCAACGATGTCGCGCAAGCAGCTCCGTCAACAACCTCTTGAAAGCAATCGCACTCGCACTCGCAATCGCACTCGCACTCGCACTCGCACTCGCACTCGCCGCCCGCTCATCGCACCTCGCCGCCGCCTCCAGTCACGAGCTCATCCACAACCTCATCAAGCGTCGTCGAGCAGAGGGCATGTAAAAGTATGCAGGCCAGGAAAGTGTCGGACACCTACAGTGTCCGAGGTGTGTGACAAGGCGCAAGCCAATGCCATCCACACGAGTGGCTCCTCAGCCCCTCTGCCAGATGTCTGGCCCGACTACTATGGCACCAAGCATGTAGCCCTCTGCTTGACGACTCTCGACTTGGGTGTGGATGAGCTCGTGACTGGAGGCGGCAGCGAGGTGGAGGCAATGACGGTGACGGCAAGGAGAGCGAGGCGATGGCGATGGCGATGGCGATGGCGATGACTACAACAACGACGACGACGACGACGACAGACTACAACAACACCAACGACGACGACAGTCTCACACACCAGCATCACGCACGCTGCTCACGCCAACGCCGACGCCAATGCCGACGACTTTGGATCACCTCAACTCGCCTCACCCCTACGTTCAATCTACTTGCTGGCATGGCTCCCACCACTCCTCAATCGAGCAACTGACGCCTTCAAAAGCCACGAAGCGCGAAACGGCAAAAGGGGTGCTGCTGGATGCGTTGGGGGCGGCGATGAGCGCGGCGATGAGCGCGGTCATGACGTTGATGTTGACAATGACGACGATGACGACGGGCGGTGACGACGATTCCTCACACCGGCCCCCGACTTTTCACACCGGGTCCACGCGTCATCCGCTATCCGACTTGACAATCCCAAGTGCTCCGCGGGACGCCTCCAAGACGAATGGCTTGAGCGCAGCCGAGGGGCCTGCCCCCCTCCGCGAGTGAGTGGTGATGAGCGTGCCCGCGATGGTGAGCACAGGGTGATGGCGAGGCGATGCTAGCTGTTAGGGGTTGCGCTACATCGTAGCAGCAGCAGCAGCGGCGGCGGCGAGTGTGAGTGACGAGTGACGATTTCCTACCAGTAAAGCTGAGGTAGCGCAAGAGGGAGAGCGGGCGCGCGCGCGCGTGTGTGTGTGTGTG